GGGGGGGGGGGGGGGGGGGGGGGGGGAGGAGGAGGGCTCCCGCTGTCTCCGAGGCTGCGCCCTGCTCCCCACGCTGTGCGCAGGCGCGGGCGAGCCGCACGCATTCTACGTAACGGACGGTAGAGGCTACGTGAAGAGTGGAGCGGAGTGACTGAGCTAAGCTACCTGGTCCGCCTGTGTCCCAGAGGCACCTAGGGCAGTAAAACCGCGGCGACCGCGAAGGTGACGGTCAGGCCCAGAGGCAGGAGGGCTAGAGGCGGGGGCCGCAGGAGCACTGGACCAGATGTTAGCCTTGGGTACAGGTAGGTAGCGAGCCATGACGTGTTAGTCGGGCCAGGCCGAGAAGGGGACTCTGAGTTGCGTGGCCTGTAGCCCGGTCCAGTTTCTCACCCAATTCTTAAGTCCCTTCGGCGGTGACATACATCAGTCTCCGTGCCTTCTCAGCTATCCCGACTTTCTTTAAACAATTTTTTTCAAAAAAAAAAAAAAAAAAAAAAAAAAAAAAAAAAAAAAAAAAAACCCAAATCCCTCTGTCCACCCTAAGGCCCATTTTCTGTTGGTATTTTGGGGGTTGGGGTAATTTTAGAGCTTTGGGGGAACTTCCCCGCAGATCTGTGAGCAGGTGCCAACCAGAAGGGCAAAGTTAGAGGAAATTTACAGTGGGTAGCGGGAAGAATGGGTGGTAGACATTAGGAAGCATTGGCTCTCCGTGGTGGAGAGAGACTAGACGCGGGTGGTTTAACAGAAGCAACAACTTCTGGGCCAATCTTCTCGGGAAGGTTTCTAACCTGAAACGTGTTTTTATCCAACACGTGTAAGGAGACAGGAATGTCTACATCTTTTACAGAAATCTCATATTCTGGCTGTTGTCAGAAAGGCCTCATCTAAAATGGCAACAAGAAATGATTGCCCAACTTATTCATCTTTTGTTCTTAAGTCCGAACTTAGTCACTGAAAGATTACTAGGTGAGCTTGCAGACGATAATCAAAGCTGACTTCCTGGTGCTTTTGCCCTGCCTGGTCTTGTGTACCCTGCTTCAGGAGTCTCAGAGGAGGGTGGCCCAGCAGGGAGTTGTGCATTCGAGAAATGAGTTGACAGATGCAGCAGAGACTTCTGAGAGGAAAGGCCAAGGCACAAATGGCTTGGGTAATTTTAATGTAAACAATCTTGAAGGAGCCCTGTTAAAGTGCTGAGTTATCTTAAATGCTTCTATGATGTGAGCATTCCAAGTGGAAATTCAATTTGAAATTATCAGACCTTTTGGCAGGCCTTTAATAAAGTCGGCTGTACCAGTGTTAACCTTTAGTTGCTTCTATTTGAAAAAGTTTTAAGACTGGGATGTGAAAAGGAAAACACTAAAAATGAAGTTTGGGTTTTTTTTAAACTTTTAAAGGGTATTCGTAAGGCACAGCAGGAGGAAGGGCGGGAACTAATATTTATTGTTTTCTATGTGCCAGTCAGTGTTAAAACTTGGTGCATATCACCTATAATACCCACCACAGCCAAGGAGCAAATGGTATCCTTTTTTTGCATGTGAGAAACAGGGAATTTTAAGTAATTAACCCAAGGTCATACATCTGGTAAACGGTAGAGCTGACTTTTAAACCGGGTCTAATTCCACCAAAGTATGTACTCTTTTTCGTATGTCTACTTTTGACCAAATGTCACAACATGAGAACTGGGCGGGGATAGCCTAGAAAAATTAGAAGAGTAGCTTTGTTTAACAGGTAATAACTTAGCGAATTGATGACCCTTAGCACTAGTGGAAGCTGAAAATGTTCACTCTAGAGTTTAGAAGAATTCATTAATAAAAGATCTTTAAAGGAAGCTAGGGATGTTTGGAGACACATTACAAACTTCTTTGGGATTAGTATTGAGAAGGCAGCATGATTTCCCAGAAAATGTCTCCTGTGGTGCTGTCCTCAAAGATTAGATACTGGAAAGGGTGTACTGTTGGCCTGTCCTTTGTGGCATTTCTCAAAATCATTTGTCTTTCAAAATTTATGATCTTTAATTCTAAGAAATTTTCTTGAGCATCCATGGGTTGCAAGGTATTGGGCAGTAACTTTTGGTATTAAACTGATTCCTTTAAGAATTAATGGTTCTATAAATACGATATTTAGAATATTCATTATCCCAGAGCACCCAGAATGGTACATATTCCCTTTTCCACCCTCTCATCTCCATTATTACTCAACTCCCTGCATTTTGGCTTCCATCCTTACCACTTCACAGTAGTTATCATTAGGGATAATGATTTCCTAATTAAAATTTGGAAATTTTTAGTACGCATCTTATTTGAACTTTCTGTAGCAATTGAAACTGAGCTCTGCTTCCTCCTTAGAAAGGTGCTTCTCCTTTTATTTCTTTTTTCCTTATTTTTTGGGGGGTGAGCGGCAGTCAGTTGGTACAGAGATCCAAACCCTTGAACACCATGCTCTAACCAGCTGAGCTAACCGGCCAGCCTTCTCCTTTGAGTTCTATGATATCTCTTTGACCAGTCTCTTCTTTTTCTCTAACATTCCTTCTTATGGTCCCATTCCAGTTCTTCCTGTTAAGGCCACCTCTTAGTTGTTATGATATGTTTCAAGATTTTGTTTTGGTTCTCTCTCTTTTTTTTTTAACATAACTCTTAATATGTGCTTTCTGAGCAATCTTGTCCATTCCCACACCATCACTGTTTCTGGCACAGACCTGTATCCTGAACTCCTCCTGACTTATATTTCCAACTACTTCCTTTTCTCCCTCTATAAAATGGGTTATAAAACCTTTTAGGGACATTGTGAAAATTAAGAGGTAAATGTTAATCCTCTAGCACTGCTTGAAAACACCCTAAACTTTTCAACAGGTACTAAATTTAATTTATTACCTTTCCCCCAATTTTTTCCTCCTTTGTTGTTCTTTATCAATTAAGGATGGCTTTGTCCAGCTATTATTTATCAAGCCAAAACTTGGAATCACTGCAGATCTTTCTTCCCCATGTTTCCTATATCCAGTCATTTTATGCTGACAAGTATAATTCCTAAATATCTGTCAAATCAGTTTTTCTCCTCATACTCACCACTGCCAGTTAAATACTGTTTTATCTAGTTATCTCAGCTACTTCTGATTTTCCTGCCTCAAGTACCCTTCTATTCACTCTGCCTATAAACTGTCAGGGTTAAATCACAAATCTGATAGTGTCACTCTCCTGCTTAAAATACTACATTTGCTTCTAATTATCTGAACTTCTTGGTGTGGTATTTAAATAAGGGCCATCATGGTCTGGCCCCTGCTGGCCTTTCCAGCTTCATGTCTACAAACCTAGTGCTTTGTCATACCAAACTCCTAAAATGTGCTATTTCAGGCCTTTATGTTATAGCTGTTCCTCTGTCTACAGTGCCTTGAGTGCAGGAACCATGCAGTTTCTGGTTTTTTTGGCAGCTGGCAGGTACAGGTATCTGAACCTGTGACCTTGGTGTTAAAAGGCTGAGCTCTAACCAACCTAACTAACCGGCCAGCTCTTATTTTATTTTTTAAGAACAATTTCTTTTAATTACAAAAGTACATCATGGTAAAATTGAAAAATTATAAAGAAAAAGACAAAATACCCATAGTCCTACTGTACAAACTAGCTACTATTTATGTATACATGCCTGTCCTGTCCTATTTTTTTAATGTGCATTTGTTTCTAAAGCAACACAGGTTCTAACTTTCTTTGTAATGATTTTTAAGGGACAGTGAGTAAATTTGTTTTTTGGATGCAGCCGTGTTTTAACCAAATAGTTTCAAAACTTTCACTATCGTAAGTAATATTGTAACATGTCCTTGAAGCTAAACTCTGTGCACATTAATGATTATTCTGGAATCGTGTTTTACTTATCTTGGCATAGTATCTACCATGGTGATATGCTTAGTGAAGGTACATTTGATTAGATATAGTGGGATCATTTTATGAACAGCAGTAAAAGCCAAGGGAGTTTTTATATTACTTTGCAGTTAGCTTCTTATGATTATTGAATCCTATGTAACAAAAGTTGTGTTTCATAAAGAGGATGGTGGTTTTCAGAGAGTAGAAGTAGGGAGTGGAGGAGAGAGTTGAGACAAGGGAAACCATTTAGGATAATATTGTAGTGCCTCAGCAAGTGGTGATAACTTGGATTATGGTGGCTTTAGGAATCAAAGAAGGAAACACCACTCTTTGGTATTTGCTGATTAGATTTCAAAGGCTAACGAAATTGAGAAATTAGATATCTTGTTCTTTTCAACAAGTAAGATGGGGAAAATGGGATTGATAGTAATATAAAAATAAGGAAATTCAGATACCTGCTGAATTTGAGGTTACTAGAGGATAGGTATCAGCACTACAGCCTGTGAACTAAGAATGGGTTTCACATTTTAAAAGATGGTTTAAAAACAGGAATAATATGCAGTAGTGACCAGTATGTGCCCCACAAAGCCTAAAATATTTTTCTGACCCTATACAGAAAAAAGTTTATAGGGCTGGTGTTTAGCTGAGAGGGCAGGACTTTGTATTTTTGTGTCATAGAAATGCAGCCTAAATGAGTTGGGGTTTTTTTGTTTGTTTGTTTGTTTGGTTTTTTTTGGATTGTTGAAATCTAACTACTTTTCAAATTCCAGCTCAAATGTTCTCACCATTTTAGTGAAGAATCACCTGCTGGATAAAATGATTGCATTGTCCTCATGTAATTCGGTTATATACTTTTGTCACAGATATGGTTTCATTATATTTGTTAGTTCAAAAACTTGTTCAGATGTTGGAATACTAAGTGTTCTTTTCATAAAGGTATAAAATGCTGGTATATTGAATTCCATCATACATGCTAGGAATAATTTGTTAGCAGAAAATTACTATTTTAAGTAGTATAAGATCACAGCCACCAGCTTACATTTGAGAAGCAGCCTGAGAAATAGTTCATAGCTTGAATTCTGGAGGCAAAACTCTGGGATCAAATCACTTCTCTATGTCACGTGGTGGTTGTATTACTTAGCATCTCTGAGCCTCATTTTCCTTATCTGTGAAATGGGGATATTAACAATGCTGCTTTCTTTAAAGGGTTGTTATGAGGATTAAATTAGTTGCTTTTTGTAAAGTATTTAGAACAGTGCCTAGACTGTGATTTACCCGTTTGCTCTTAGGATAATGATGTTCACACATGCACACACAAAAGTTGATCTAAGGGTGAATGGCTTTTCTATTTATAGATTATTCTTGTTACCACTAACAGATAAATAGTCGCCTCTTATTCCTTACCTATACCCCCTTCTCAGTTACTATAGAAAGCTTTTTGTAGGCCTTCAAAAATGCTTATCAAATACTCAGTGTAAATGGAAAGAGAATTTTAGAGAACCCAACCGAAAGAAATTAAATGACTTGTCTGAGATTTTACAGATACTTAGTGACACAGTCCAGACTAGAACCCAACCCTCTTGACCTCACTTCATTGTTTTTTATATAATAATACTATCTGAATTGATAGTATTGAATAAGAGAAAAGCAGGAAGAGCTTTACAGATTTTTTTTTAACTGTTTACAAAATCTGATCAGTATATATAGAATAGCAGTCCATTTTAGGGTTTTTTTGTTCGTTTGTCTGTTTTAAGCTTATTTTTAAGGTGCAATGAAAGCCGTCCACGCTTTCTGTGTTGTCCTTTTGGTGTTCGGGAGTGTCTCTGAGGCCAAGTTTGATGATTTTGAGGATGAGGAAGACATAGTAGAGTATGATGATAATGACTTTGCTGAATTTGAGGATGTCATGGAAGATTCTATTACTGAATCTCCTCAACGGGTGATCACCACTGAAGAGGATGAAGACGAGACCACTGTGGAGTTGGAAGGGCAGGATGAAAACCAAGAAGGAGATTTTGAAGATGCAGATACCCAGGTGAGGTTCTTTTTTATTGATTTCTTGGGAAATCAGAAGGATAGGAAAATTTGTAACTAGCACTTTTCCCAAACATTAAAAGTAAGGCCTTGGTCTAGGGAGACCCTAACTCTGTGGAATCTTCATTTTTGTTCAGTAGATAGAGCTCTTAATGTCTTGTGGCATGTTCCCACCTTTTGTATTGATACAATTGTGTTTTTCTCCTCTATTGAAACCTGGCTTGGAGAATGGGTAATGTGTGTGGGTGAGAATTATATCATTTAGAAATTTGGGTTCAGGGCTGGCCACTGAGCTCAGTTGGTTAGCACATGATCCTGATAACACCAAGGCCCCAGGTTCAATCCCTGTACCGGCCAGACACAAAAGCAAACAAACAAAACCCAAAAGCATGGGAAGTCATCATTTTGGTGTTTCGGTTTTTATTCCCCCAGGTTTATTGAGATATAATTGATAAATAAAAATTGTATATATTTGAGAGGTATAACATGGTGTTTTGATACACTGTGAAATGATTACCACAGTCAAACTAATTAATATATCCATCACCTCAGTTGCCTTTGTGTGTGTGTGTGTGATGAGAATGCTTAAGATCTACTCTTTTAGCAAATTTCAGGTAAACATTATTATTAAGTGTAGTCACCATGCTGTCTGTACATGAGGTTTCCAGAACTTGTTCATCTTATAACTGAACATTTGTACCTTTGTTAAAAACATGTAATATCTCTGTGTTCTGTGCTTGCTGCTTACATACTCTGTTTTCCTCTACAAATGTTGCCCACAAAATGAGACACAATTGCTAGTGACATATGTAGAGGAAAACAGATTGTGCCTCATTTTTGTAGGAGGGAGATACTGAGAGTGAGCCGTATGATGACGAAGAATTTGAAGGTTATGAAGACAAACCAGATACTTCTTCTAGCAAAAATAAAGACCCAATAACAATTGTTGATGTAGGTATACAGGATTCTGAGTTCCAAACTAACCAACAAAATATCGTGCTGTCATTAATCCCAGAATATAATTAGTGACATATAGCTGGTGTTGGTGTAATAGCTAAGAAACAGGTTGACATCAGTTCTCCTGGTAAAAACCCATACCTAGAGAAGAACCTCTATTTTTTTCTAGCCCCCTAGTTTTACTTATCAAAGAGTAAGTAAGAGGATATACACTGGATTTATTTGCAGTGGGACTTAGAACCAAGTTTAATACAGAAGGCTTTTTCCAGCTTGTCACTTTATTTCATTGTCCTTATATTTCCTTAAAGAATCTTTTACAAAGCTGACCTAGAAAACCAAAATGGTTATATTTTTCAGAGTATAACCATATTCAGTGACAGTTATCTAAAATATCCACTTCTGTTTATAGGTTTTCTTATTTTTCATCCCATGAATTAGACTCCATACCTCAGCCTCAGCCAACAGTTAATGGAATGATTTTGCCTCTTTAGGTTCCTGCACACCTCCAGAACAGTTGGGAGAGTTATTATCTAGAAATTTTGATGGTGACTGGTCTGCTCGCCTATATCATGAATTACATCATTGGGAAGAATAAAAATAGTCGCCTTGCTCAGGCCTGGTTTAACACTCATAGAGAGCTTTTGGAGAGCAACTTTACCTTAGTGGGTAAGTTAGACCAATACAAGTCCAGCTGCTGGCTTGAAATCAGTCTGGTAAGAATGGTTTATTTTCCTCAGTACCGGTTGAGATTCCCTTACCTGAAATGCTTGGGACCAGAAATGTTATGGATTTTGTATTTTTTTTTTTTGGATTTAGGAATATTTGCAGATTCTTAAGTTGAGCATCCCTAATCTGGAAATGTGAAATGTTCCCATTAGCATTTCCTTTGAGCATCATGTGAGAGTTCAAAAAGTTTCGGATTTTGGAGCATTTCAGATTTAAGATTTTCGAATTAGGGATGTTCGACCCATATAAGCATCTAGCTGCCTTCATGGACTGCTGAAGAGGAGGCATTTTTTTTTCTCCCAAGAATTCCATTTTTGTTAGGTTTTATATGCTGAATAAATTGCATTTATGTTCCTCATATTTCGTTAGTCAACAGTGTAATTACTAAACAGCTTCTGGTTAGGATAATATAATCATTGTTATCAAAACAAGTTAATAAAATTCTGGCTGAAACCAAGCAATTTTGACATTTTAGGTAGCTTGAGAAATGCTTTCAGTTCATCTTTTAGAAATTGGAAATCCCTCAAAATTTCTTGAGGTTCTGGGTACTTTAGTTTTGGATCCACTGGTAAGGTATACACTGAAGTACTTAGAGGAACCTCTGGTTGTGTAGTATATAAGGAGAAAGGTGGACTCACCTCACATTTGCTTCTATTTGGCAGTTAGCACTTTTTTTTTTTTTTAATAGTAAGCACATATTTACCTGCTCTGCTCTTTAGAAGATTAATGTTTATGTGTTGTGCTAGGTACTTTGTATACATTGTTTTTTATTTAGTCTTTGTAACAACACTTTGTGTCAGTTGGATATAATTTTTGTAACAACACTTTGTGTCAGTTGGATATAATTTTTATTTTTTTATTAAGGAGGGAACTGAAGGGCAAAAATGTTAAAACTTGTCTAAGCTATTAAATTGCAACCATGATATTAGAACCTGCCTTCCTGCTTCAAAGTCATGGCTCCTTCTGCTGTGCCATAGTATTTCAGGTACTATTTGACTAGGAAATTAGAAAAAAATAAGCGGTCTATGCCTCGTTCCGCTTCCTCTTGCTTGTTTTCATTTGGTATATCAGTTTGTTTTACTTGTGTGGTTGAACAATTTCTTTTGCACATTTAATGAATCAAATGAAGAGAAAAACTATTGAAATTTGAGCTTTTTCTAGATCTAAACTACAACTCAATACTACACTTAAGACCCAGTTATCAGTTTGCTGTCGGAAAAGAAAACTTGGTTAAGTTAACTCATAGGAGACACAGTGAAAGAGTGTTGAATAGTTTGTTATTAATGGTATTTTTTATTGACTGCATAGTTTTTAATTTTTTAACTTTTGGCAGAGATATTTAAATGGATTTTGTCCCATTTTACATCTACTCAGAGATTTGTACTCCAAACTGATCATCATTAAACTAACAAGGACATAGAAGTAGTGCTGGAGTCCATAATTTTTTTGTGGTGGCAAAAGTAAAAAAGAACAGGGTTGGCTGGTTAGCTCAGTTGGTTAGAGTATGGTGCTGATATTACCATAGTCCAGGGTTCCATCCCTCTACCAGCCAGCCACCAAAAAAAATTTTTTTAGTTAATTAAAAAGGAACAGTGTCGGTCTATTTTAATCCCTGTCCAAGGAGAGTTCTGTAAGATAGCAAGGTATTGCTACCCTACAGCAGTGATCATTTTTGGGGTCAGGGTAGAGGAGGGTGTGGTGATTAGGCCCCAACATTTTCAGTGAATCACATTAAGTGGTTTCACCATTAGGTGATGATGGAACTAACAAAGAAGCCACAAGCACAGGAAAATTGAACCAGGAGAATGAACACATCTATAACCTGTGGTGTTCCGGTAGAGTGTGCTGTGAGGGCATGCTTATCCAGCTGAGGGTAAGTAGGGGGTTTCTGGTACAATGTATATCTTTCCTTATTTTTTTTCAAGCTGTCATTCCTAAGCCTCTAAATTCAGTGTCTCATACCCTCATTTTTGACTTATATTGAGGTCTAAAAATTATATTTCTGCTAACTGGCAAATGTGTTGTTGAGTATATTTGATGAAACGTTTGATTACCCCCCAAGGCCCTTTATAGTAGGTAGAAGTTGCAACTGTGTTAACTCAACCTCTCTCATTTCTTCAGTTCCTCAAGAGACAAGACTTACTGAATGTCCTGGCCCGGATGATGCGGCCAGTGAGTGATCAAGTGGTATGTGTTCTTCCCGCCGGTTTTCTGTGTCCTGATTGAATTCTTTACTTCTTAGAGCTTATTCTATTTCTGCCTGGATTATGTTTGGAGTTTCTGGCAACTTGTGTCCCTTGCCAAAAAATTGGCCCTTTTTTGTTTAGAGAGATTATCTTCTGCCTCTCAATGTGCAAATGTCAGGGGGCCTTTTTGTGCTTTTTGGAGGGAAAAAGATAATACTGTATCACCACATAGATCAGCTGAATCAACCTTGATGATAGAAAAGCAGTTGCCACAGATAGTTTGCCCTCATATCCAACTCTGCTCCTTGTATATGCTTTTTATCTTTGGCAAAAAGCTACATAACTTCTCAAATATATTTTGCTTCATATAATACTTTTTTGGCTGAATAGGCTCAAATCACAATCTAGGACCTTATTGTTTGTTGCATCCCTTTTCCTTTGTTAAATTAACATGTTAATTTGCAAGTTGTCCTCTTCATCAAAAATGTCACATTCCTCCTCCCTTTATTCTTTCAATAAATTGTGCTGGCCCCCACTGCTGTAAGAAACATACAAGACAGTTTCGTTTATATAAATTAATAGAACAAGAAATTATATGTAAAGTATATGAGTATGTGTCAACGTACAAAGTTAGTTTGAAGTGTAATTATTGTGTAATTATTGTAATTATTATAAGTGAAGATAGTTTGAAGTGTAATTATTGAATTGAAACTCATTGTTATTTTAAAGGTCTCCTTTTTAGTTATAAACCTATAAATTTTAATTTTTCTAAGATAGCCACTGATGACTTAATTCACTAAATTTTAGAGCCCCATCAGTTAGTATTCCTGTCATCCATTCTCCCACCAAACACCATCTTATTAGGTGGAAAGAAGGAAAGTTTTCTGTATCCTCAGCTGTTTTTTTTTAGAATTATTTTTAGCTTTTTAATCATTCTCAGTTCTTTCCTGGGATAGACGTCTCTTTTTTTTGGACCAGCCATCCTGTTATCTCTCTTCTCTTTTTCTTTCTGTGAAGAGAAATAGTCTCAACAAACATATGACTCATTATATTTTCTGGATTCTGTTCAAGGTGTTGCTCTGTATAATTTCCGCTCAATGATGGAAAAGCAGAAAACTTTTTCTTTACAGTTGCCATCCTGCCAGGTCTTTCCCTATATTAACATTTCCCTTCTTCCACATGCAGGTAATTATTTGACTCAAACATTTTAAGATATAATTAATATGACAAATAGGGCTATGTTTTATCATATCAGACTCTTTAGGCCTATAACTTTATCTCTCTGGCCCAATGCTGAGTACTAATAGCTGTTTACTGCCTGGGGTGTTTTCTGACACCAACAACCAATTCTCAGATTTTCTGGACACCAACTGGGTATCCAACAATTCAATTCAATTCTGACTACTATTTACCTGGGTTTAGCTTTAGATCCCGCAGGTTAAAGGGCTCAGTCTCAAAAGACTGCCCCCACTTGAGATGCCATCACAAGTCCCGGGCCACCCATACTACCACCTGTACTGACCAGTTGACTATAAATTGGGGTCCCATAGCCTCCAATTTGTTAGAATGGCCCACAGAACAAGGAAACACTTTACTTATGTTTACAGGTTTATTTTAAAGGGTACAACTCAGGAATAGCCAAGCGAAAGAGAGCCATAGGGCAAGGTATGGGGGTGTGCACAGAGCTTCCATGGCCTCTCTAAGCACATCACCCTCCCAGCAAGTTGATGTGTTCACTAACTTGGAAGCCCTCTGAGTCTTGTTTAAGAGTTTTTGTAGGGCTCAATCTCCACCTCTCTTCCCCAGAGGTCAAGGATAGGGCTGAAAGTTTCTACCCTCTAAGCACTTGGTTTTTCTGGTGACCAGCCTCATCCTGAGGCTACCTAGGGGCTACCCTAAGTAATCTCTTTAGCATAAACTCAGGTATGATTGTAAGGGGCTTGTTGTGCATAACAAAAAATGCTCCTATCATTCAGGAAGTTCTCAGGGTTTTGGGAGCTCTGTGCAAGGACTGGGACAAAGACCAAATATATTTCTTCTTATACCATACCATCCAATTTGGATCTTCTTTATTTCTGATATTTGAACTTGAGTACTCCTGTATGAACCTATGTTAGTATTTTATTGCTGTATAACAAATTACCACAACTTTAGCAGCTTAAAACAACACCTGTTTATTGTCTCACAGTTTCTATAGGTCATGCATCCTGCATGGGTTAGCTAGATCCTCTACTCAGGCTCTTAACAGGCTGAAATCAAGGTGTCAGCCAGGCTAGAGTTCTCTGGACCTTGGGGTCCTCTTCTTAAGATCATTCAGATTGCTGGCAGAATTTTGTTCCTTATGGTTGTAAGTCCCTATTTTCTTGGTAGCTGTCAAGTGGGGACCACTGTCAGCTCCTAGAGGTCCTTACCATGTGTCCCCTTCACCTCATAAGCCCTTTCATGCTTTGACTCTATTCTTCAAGTGGGCCCAGTCCCTTTTAATGACTCACTTGATTAGGTGGGCACATCAAAGATAAGCTCCCTTTTGGTTAATTCTAAGTCAACTGATTAGGGACCTTCTTCCATGTAACAACATAATTATGGGAGTGATAGTCCCATAAGTATGTACACTCATTTAAAGGGAGGATATATACACCAATGAGTGGAAATCTTAGGGGCCATTTAGAAATCTGCCTACCACAGAACCTAACAGATGAGTTTTGTTGTTTTTTAAAGCAAATAAAAGTAACCATGAATGATGAAGACATGGATACTTATGTGTTTGCTGTTGGCACACGGAAAGCCTTGGTGCGACTGCAGAAAGAGATGCAGGATCTGGTAGGTCAAGTTGTTTCAACTCAACTATGCATTTCAGTAAGAAATTGTGCCTGTTTATTACATTGATGTTCAACTTCATAGTATAGGATAATTAATTAATTACATCACTTGAATATTGTTAAGTACCACTTTGAAATAGGTTGGTACATGTTCTTTTGAGGGGGAAAAAAATTCTTCGTGCATAATAAAATATTATGTCTTACTTTCAATTACTTCTTATAGAGTGAGTTTTGTAGTGACAAACCTAAGTCTGGAGCAAAGTACGGACTGCCAGACTCTTTGGCCATCCTGTCAGAGATGGGGGAAGTCACTGAGGGAATGATGGACACAAAGGTAAATGCAATAGAAGACATACAAATCCAGACCTCAGCATTTGTAGGGTACTGTCCCTAAAAGTCACACTGTACAAGTTCTTCATTTTATAGCAATGCACTAGTTATGTATTCATTTCCCACACAAATATTAAAATACCTTCTTTAAGCAGCAGATTAACCTGTCAGGAGGATAATTTGATTAGTCAAGAAGTTCTTCTCTCTAAATTAAGAGCAAATTGTTCCTGGGACTGCTAATGACTTTCAGGTTTTTTGAAAAAAGAACACAACTTTAATCCTTTTCACCATGTCATTTAGTCTTTTTTTTTTTTTTACTTCAATTAGTGTGGGAGAAGAGGGATGTATAGAGGGCCATTTCTTTATTGGTTGTGTAATAGTAACAGCACATCTTAGTATCATAAAAATATAGCATAATTCAGAAATAGTTCTAAATGTAAGTTCAAGGTGATGTATTTGTAAAGAATTCCGTGGAATTATTTTAGATTTTATCTTCATGCTTGCATTCTTGTTTAGAACATTATTTTGGGACATATTTTCAGCTAATCAGTAAAAAACTTAATTATTGATGTGACTAAAAAAGGGTACTAGTTTCATTTCAGAGAGGTTCTTTACTTAAATTTTTCAAAAGCTTTGGTCTTAACATTGTACAGAAGTAAAGAGAATTGAAGGGTGAATATCTTTATAGAAAAAGGGAAATGCATCAAACCCTACTTTTAAAAAATAATTTTATTTTCTTTTTTTCAGATGGTTCACTTTCTTACACACTATGCTGACAAGATTGAATCCATTCATTTTTCAGACCAGTTCTCTGGTCCAAAAATTATGCAAGAGTACGTATGAGATAGAAATTAATTTTCCTCACTAGTTTTCTTTGTTGAAACACCTGCATGGTGCTTCTACAATTTCTCTTACCAAATGAGTGAGGGAAGTTGGTGACAGGTGTGCAAGTTTTCCTTTGTTTTGATTGCATGCATGTGAGAGGTCATTGAAAACCTATGGGAGATAAACAAATGACCTGCCCTACCCAAGTTTGCATGTGTCTCTGCATGTTTGCACCAGGCTGTCAGTGAGGTGGACGAGAATCTGTCAGAAATACTGGCACTAAGAAAACACAATTGCTAGTCCCTTTTTTCTTTGTAGTCTAGATTTGTGTTTTGTTTTGTTTTGTTCTTTTTTGGGTTTTTTTTGGCAGCTGGCCAAACCCTTGACCTGGTGTTATCAGCACCACCCTCTGCCAAGTGAGCTAACTGGCCAGGCTTTTTTCGTAATATTCATTTGTCTGCGATGTTTGACTTTCGTTTGATTGATGGCAAATCTGTGTATTTTGTAATTTATGGTTTTATTTTCTGGCTTCTCTCTTTGCAAAGTTGGGTGATTATTTCCTCTCCTAGCATATTATCAAATGACTTCAATGCCTGTAGAGTTTCTGGCTTTATGGTAATATTGCTCAAGGTACGTATTCAGGGCTTGGATGTGTTCTTTGAATTCACAGCCTGTCTCAGAAGAGCATAGTTAGCGCGGCGGCGCTCCTGCCGAGGGTTCGGATCCCATATAGAGACTGGTCTGCTCACTGGTTGAGCGTGGTGCGGGCGCGACACCGAGGGTTGTGATCCCGTTGCCAGTCACGAAAAAAGACAAAAAAAGGAAAAAAAAAAAAAAAAGAAGAGCATAGTTATTTAAGTTTGCCCCTTGGTGTAGAACTGATTCTGACCTAAATTTTTAGTTAAGGTTATGCTCTCATAGGCTGGGGCGTTGAGTACAATTAAAAGCAAATCCGAGGCTGGCCAGTTGGTTCAGTTGGTTAGAGCAGCGTTGATAACTCCAGGGTCAAGAGTTCGGATCCCAATACTAGCCAGCTGCCCCCAAAAAAGAAGAAAAAGAAGCCAGAGTGGCTTTTAGTCGTGTGTCAAGATGACTCAGGTCCTTGTGCCTCTAGGGAGTGTTGCATCATCCTTGCCTTGTTCAACTCAAGGCAGTAACACTGGGGACAGAGTATCACATTGTAGCATTCATGGAGCCTTTTGTGTGTAGGAGGGAGGGCAGTAGAGAGTCAAAGATTACAAAGGAATCTTCAACGACAGAGCTAAATTATATATGCTATAGTAGATTATCCGTAAATTTATTCTGAGCCCAGCTCAAAAATAAGATCTTTCGGGCCGGCCCGGTGGTGCACTGGATAGTGCCCCGCTTGGGAAGCGCAGCGGCGCTCCCACCCGAGGGTTCGGATCCCACATACAGACCGGTTCCCGCTCACTGGCTGAGCGAGGCGCGGGAGCAACGCCGAGGGTTGCAATCCCGTTGCCGGTCCCTGGTCCGGTACGGGGGCAACACTGAGGGTTGCGATCCGTTGCTGGACACGGAAAAAGACCAAAAAAAAAAAAAAAAAAAAAAGATCTTTCTTATAGGAAGATAGCATAGGAGTTGAAGTAAAACACAGAAATCCATCAAAATAAGCAAAAATGTTTTTTAAAATATGGGCCTCATACTTAAATAAAGGTTCATTGCTAGCTACGCAGCTGAGATGAAATATACCCTGACAGGAGGGGACATCACTGGAGGTATTAAAGTATAGGATAAAGATCACTTGGGAATGCATCCATCAGATAGATGAATGGACCAGAACACCTGCAAAGCTCCTTTGGGCTCTGAGGTTATATTTGATTTGGGAATGCCGAGTCAAATACCATGCTGATTATTTGCAGATATCTGTTCATCTGAGTGAGTTGGGTGATTTGTATGCACAGAAAATATCTTTTCTGTGTTCCTTCTTAATAGTCTTTTCTTTTATGACAGGGAAGGTCAGCCTTTAAAGCTACCTGACACTAAGAGGACACTACTGTTTACATTTAATGGTAAGTGTTTTGGGTCCTGTCTGGGTTCTTAGTATTCTGTGAGATGACCTTGAGGAGAGTATTGTTCCCTTCTAAATGATAGCTTTAAAACTAACCCCGTGACTGCTTATTGATTTCCAGGTTTCTTCAAGAAGAGGAGCTTGTATATATTTTAAATTCTATTTCCTGTTGCATTTTAACTGCCAAAGAAACTTGGAGAAAGATAGCTCTTAACATTAAAAAAAAAAAAGTTGGGGGCTGAGCCCGTGGTGCACTCGGGAGAGTGCAGCGCTGGGAGCGCAGCAGCGCTCCTGCCGCAGGTTCGGATCCTATATAGGGATGGCTGGTGCGCTCACTGGCTGAGCGCGGTGCGGCCGGTCTCAAAAAGGACAAAAAAAAAAAAAAAGTTGGGTAACCCAGAAGTATTAGTGTTGCCATTAACACAGTAGGAAAATGGCTTTGTTTTCCAGTGCCTGGCTCAGGTAACACTTACCCAAAGGATATGGAGGCTTTGCTACCCTTGATGAACATGGTGATTTATTCTATTGATAAAGCCAAAAAGTTCCGACTCAACAGAGAAGTAAGACTCAAAGCCTTTATTATAAATTGGCACATTTTATTGTTTTTTTACCCCGGGATTGGGGTGGGAAGCTATGAGTGATTTCAATGATGACTTTGTGCTAGTTAACTTGAAAATGCCAATTTGGAGTAGTTTTATGAAAGAATGTGAAGTGGGATTTTGCTTCTCTTGACTAGAAGTGGATCTCTTATGAAACACTTTGTTTCTTGGGGAAAGGGCAAACAAAAAGCAGATAAGAACCGTGCTCGAGTAGAAGAGAACTTCTTGAAGCTGACACATGTGCAAAGGCAAGAAGCTGCACAGTCTCGGCGTGAGGAGAAGAAAAGAGCAGAGAAGGAGCGCATCATGAATGAGGAAGATCCTGAGAAACAGCGCAGGCTGGAGGTGAGACACACTTCCTCATTTCTAAGATTTATAAGGGTGCCTATTAGTGCCACGTTGTCTGTTGAGGTAGTTCTATGTAGGAATGTATGAGGCTGAAAGTTTAGCATTTTCTCAGAATTCGGGGCATATCATCAGTTGATAGCACTAGAGAGAAGAATAAATAATCCTTCCTGTTCATGCTAGATTGAGTCTGTAAAGTTAGAAAATGGTCTGAATTATCCTTTTCCCCCAGCGCAGTTCCAGTTTGAAAATTCCACTATCATCTTTCAAGCCAAACACTGTGGGAGAAAGAAGTTAGAAATTTTAATAGAGGCCAGTACATGTACCCTATGGTCTAAATAAACTTGTCATATAAAATTTTAAATTTGATTATAGAATTACAGAAATCTTTTTATTTTTCCTTTGGCAGCTGCCTGTACAGAGATCTGAACCCAGTTTTGTTTTGTTTTTATATAACTAAAATCTTAAACTCGGGCTGGCCCGTGGCTCACTCGGGAGAGTGTGGTGCTGATAACACCAAGGCCACGGGTTCGGATCCCATATAGGGATGGCCGGTTCGCTCACTGGCTGAGCGTGGTGCTGACAACACCAAGCCAAGGGTTGAGATCCCCTTACCGGTCATCTTTAAAAAAAAAAAAAAAAAATCTTAAACTCAAGAGCTTCTTAGGCTGTAGTATGTTTCAAATAATCAGCATGTTTGAGAGGAGAACTGGGCTGGCTGGTTAGCTTAGTTGTTTAGAGCCCAGTGTTGATAACACTAAGGTCAAGGTTTTGGATCCTTGTACTAGCCAGCCACCAAAAAAAAAAAAAAAACCAAGGAGAACAAAGTTCTGGGAGATGTGAATTTTAATGAGAATAATATGGAGGACTGAAGAAAATTCTTAGGAGCGAAGGCAGCATGCTGCTGAGAAAATGTGAGCTGCTGTGTGGCGCTGGGGTTGCCAGTACAGTCATCGGTGCTGTTGAGTGAGGTGCCCGGGATACCACAAGCCTGCTCCTATCTTACCCTCTTTCTCATCGTTTTTTGTTTGATTTGGTTTGGTTTAGTTGATGGGTATTTTTCCCCTAAAAATGTAGCTCTGTGTTTATGCAGTCTTCTTTATAAATAAAAATGGCCTTTTAATGTACATATGTGAAGAATCTACACAGGAATCATTAATAGGTAATGCCTCTCATTTTTCTATGGAAAAGGAAGCTTTTTGTAGGGTTTGAAACTACAGTGGGTGTAGCAGGGTTTAGAGGCGAGCACAGGAGAAAGGTAATATCAGGATTTTCTAGGAAAGAGGAAAGTAAAAGCCTGGATGGGGGAAGGGAGTGTAGAGCCTTGTAGGTGAGGAGGTCTTTTAGATGGTGAGGCAAGAGTATGGTTAAGGGTGCACCAAATGTTAATTTATTTTTTTTTTATTTTTTTTTAATTTTTTTTTTTTAAAGATGACCGGTAAGGGGATCTTAACCCTTGACTTGGTGTTGTGAGCACCACGCTCACCCAGTGAGCAAACCGGCCATCCCTATATGGGATCCGAACCCGTGGCCTTGGTGTTGTCAGCACCACACTCTCCCGAGTGAGCCACGGGCCGGCCCGTAAAAATATATATATTTTTTTAAACCGTTTATTTTTTTAGAGCCACCACTTTATAGTTCTGGCCTGGGTACCTTGTGAGATGATCCAGTGGACCAAATGGAAAGGGGCCAAAAAAGAAAAAACAAACGATAGTCAATTTCTGACTTGAGTGGCTCATTTATACAAATGAGCTGGACCTCCCTGCCACTCCTAGTATAGCTTTTTGTTTGTTTTTTACTATATTTAATTGGAAAAATATAGAGAAATATATGCACATAAGTGAAAATTAATTGCCATGTAAAAATAACAATTCTTCAGACAATCCCGATCCCTAAAGATAACTGCTATTAACACTTTATATAGTTCCTTTTCTATCAAGCTGTCTATCTGTGTGTTTAGTGTATATATTCCTTTCCTTAATGTAGATCATTTTATAAATAGTATTCTACGACTTTTTTATATTAAAAATATAGCAGTCTTTAAGAAAGTGATGTCTTTCCATATTTGTGCTTTTTTATTTCCTGAGGAAAACAACCTAGAAGATTTATACATATATATGTATATGCATATAAAATATATTTTAAAAGATTTGCCAATAAGAAGTTGTATCAATTTATGCTTTTACCAGTGTATGAAATGAGAGCTCCTCTTTACTAATATCTTTATAAAAACTAGTTGTTAGCAATTTTTTTTTTTAAATTTGTGATTCTGATAGTGGGGAAATGATATCTCATGTGTTTTGCATGTTTTTAATTATTAAAGATGAACAGTTTTCACATGTATTGACTTTAATGTAAATGTCTCTTAAATATGTTAACATAAATATATTTCTTAATCATGATAATGTATTGTATACGTCAGTGGTTTTACACATGTCATGTGGGAAATAGGGTTGGATAGTGCTGGGGAAAGAATGAATATGGTGGAGGTAGGGAGTGAGATGATGGGCAGAAGACACTGGGACAGTACTTTGACTACTTTATATAGCTGTCCCAGAATAGTGTAGCTTCTGAGATATATGCTGTTGCTACGAGGCCCTCACAGGGGGCAGCAGCATTGCCAAAGGCTACTTGATATAGCTGTCTCAGGACAGTATAGCTCTGACATATATGTTGCTTGCTTCTAGGCCCTCACAGGAGGCTGCAGCATTGCCAAAGGCGGTGGGCTCATTCCTGCCCTTGTGAATCCAAACTCAGAATTCATTTTCCCATAAAAGCAGTGTTAACATTGATGGTTCAGTTCTTCAAGCAACTTACACAATAGCACAGCTATGGATAAAATGTTCAGTATTACACTACTGTACAGGTGGATAGTTCTTTATTATCTAGTGTAGGAACCTAACACAGTCAATAGTTTCCAAACCAGGAATTTACAAATCATCCTTTGAAACATAATGTGTTATAGTATCAAGACCTATACTTATATATGCTATGTGCTTCTGCTTCTGCTTTTCCTCTTCCATATTTTCTCGATCCTGTACCAGATGAGGAGTATATTTCTCAGATCATTTCTACCCCAGTTGCCTAAAAAAATGAAGTTTGAGATTGCAACTAGAGTAAGCTTTGACACCAAGGTCAAGGGTTTGTATCCCTGTACTGGCCATCTGCCCCCCAAAATAAAATAGAATAAAATAATTTTTAAAATTAAAAAATTAAAATAAAATAAATCTTTAATCAGATGGGACCATTAATGACCAATAGTGAAGTTATACTTTGAGCTAGCCTCTAAGGCTTCTCTCAGTACAGATAAAAATAACCTGAAACTTCTTCCTTGTATATAACTTTTTAATTCCTAAATAAAAATATGACAAAAATTCCCAATTGAACATTATGAATCGAAATATTGTGCTCAGGTATGCCATGTATGCTAATAAGAAGAGGTTTACAGTGAATAACCTTGTCAAACAAGATCCTTAAGTTTCCCAGAACTGAAGTACAAATCCATGGTAGATAGATACACTGCACATATGTATCTTGGCAGATGTATATTTTTGATACAATGCTATCATAAATGGTATGATCAATGTTGGGCTAATGTTTCTTGGGTATAGAAAACAGCAAACCAGAATGACAAAGCCCGATTAAATGTAGTGGTTAGTTTCTTTTTAAATTGAGATTTTAGTTACCTTTGCTTCATCTCAATTTAATTTTCATTTACCAACATAAGTATTGGCAATTATTTTTATTTTATTTTTTGTTTTGGTTTTTGTTTTTTTGGTGGCCAGCCAGTACAGGGATCTGAACCCTTGACCTTGGTGTTTTCAGCACCATGCTCTAACCAAGTGAGCTAATATTTTTATATCTATTTTCTAGAGTGTTATTTATGGTGCAAGCCTAAGTTTTTTAATTTTATAGGCAGTATTCTAGTTTTGATTTGTTTTTAACATGTGCTTAGAGCTTAGTCTGGATTCTCTCCCTCTCTCTAGGAAGCTGCTTTGAGGCGTGAACAAAAGAAATTGGAGAAGAAGCAAATGAAAATGAAGCAAATCAAAGTGAAAGCCATGTGAAGACACCTGGAGATCTGAGTCCACGTGCCACCTGTAAGCTCTGAATTCACAGGAAACACAAAATCACCAGTCTGCTTCTCATCTTAAAGTTGACACTCTTGGCAACTGAGAAATCTTTATTTCATCATCTATTCCGTTTTCTGTTTTCAGTTTTATGGAGGTTGTAGATCCATTGAAAGGGCTCTGTTTCGCTAATTTTCTTCCACATAATCAAATTAACTTTGATTATTTTATAAAAGGAATGATATATGAAATCTGTGTGGTTTTAGAATATTTTTTTAAATTATAATGAATCATCAGCGCTTTTAGTATTTTCATGTTTGAAGAAATGAAATTCATAGGTAGATAATTAGATTGTTGCTTTTTGTTTAAACTAGGCATTTGAAATGGCTATGAAGACTTTAAACCAAGATTGCACAAATATCTATTGGAATTGCACAATAAACATTGCTTGGTGTTTTCTTCTGTGTCTACATTAAACTTGTGAGAAAGTAAAATTTAGAACACTAGATATGTGGTAATGAAATTTCAAGGACTCAAAACATAATGCAGTATATGTTTTGCAGGTGGGAGGTACTGATGACAGTATTATAGGAAATCTGTAGGTATTAGGATACGGACATGTACATGGAAAATTCTAGGGACAGGTAGTACAGGAGCACAGTTTTCTCATTACCTGATACCACAAGATAATGACAATGTGAATGATGTATTTTAAGTGGTTGTCTGTTTATTTTTCTTGAGTAACAAATGCATGAAAAAGTAACTGCTTCACCAAGATCAGATCATTGGTCTATGTGAAGTCACAAATGTTTTCCCTCTTGGTTGCTGCAACCTGTTGGATATTCATGGAGAAGCTCAACTCTGTTATGGCTCTGTACGTATCTTTGCTTCTCCCTCTGCTTATATCTCTTCCACAGTTGAGGCTGGGTATGTTCTTTCAAAGAAATAACCATGACTTTGCATAAATATACTTTTAAAAATGAACTGTCCTAAACTGTTGAACGTTCTTTCTGCCTTTTGAGGAGGAAACTCTTGGGGGAGAATCCCATCTATCTGCACAAGCATTCAGCTTGTTCAGATATCTGCATTTTATAAATGCTTCCTATTAAGAAAGCATTTTTTTAAGTCACTGCTTGTACCAGGTAATTTTTGCTAGGGACAGGAAAGGGTCCTGTCTTTTGGTGGGCGTGGGGTGGTGGGTATTTTTTGTTGATGCTTTATGTGCAGGTCTGTTCTGAGGCAATAACAATAAGTTGCTGTGAAAACAGCATGTGTTGCTGCCTTTGTAACTGCATGGAAACTTTTCACATTGGTTTTTCTCCAGGTTAATACAAAAATGTGTAAATTGGCAGATGCAAATTAATATTTTTAATAGTTCATGAAATTAAGTTATTAAAAATAAAATGTAATTAATGCTATATAATTCTAGAATTAGCCTTGTTTTACAAATCTTTAAAATACATTTTAGAAATCAGAGTTGATATGTTTAACTATCTTTTGAGTAATAAAAGCTTTCTTAAAGTCAAACACATTTGGACCATGGCAGCTAATTTTGTAATTTAAGCATTCATATGAACTACCTATGGACATATATTAAAATGATTGACAAAATCTCAGAGTGCCGCCTTGACTTTTCTGGAGTTGTCCTACAAGAGTATAAGCCCAGAGGAAAGTTCTTAACTGTTCCATAAAAGTCAGCACGGAAGTGTTTTTCCTTCAAAACAGTTGGTCTTGAATATTCTCTTTGTTGTTATCACTATTAGCATGTTTTACATTTTTAGAGCCCCATATGTTATTAATGTGTTTCTCTCTGTAGTCCCCTTCTTGAATTAAGACATCATTATCTCAGGCAGACCTGTGGCTTACTTGGGAGAGTGAGGTGCTGATAACACCAAGGCCATGGGTTCGTTTAAAAAAAAAAAAATCATTCTCTCTCCTATGAATGAGAGGGTAAAGAGAGGAGAACGTTGTTCACTGTCACACATAGGAAAACCACTGAACCCTCCAATCTCCCCTGCATTGTCTGGGCACTTAGCAATGCCCAAATAAGCACTGGACTGGAAGACAAAGATCTGGTTTTTAGGGGCCAGCCAGTGGCTCACTCGGGAGAGTATGGTGCTGATAACACCAAGGCCATGGGTTCAGATCCCATATAGGGATGGCAAGTTGCTCACTGGGTGAGCGTGTTGCTGACAACACCAAGTCAAGGGTTAAGATCCCCTTACTGGTCATCTTTAAAAAAAAAAAAAAAAAATCTGGTTTTTAGTGCCACAAAACCAAATTCCTAATCCTTTGACTATGAGCGAGTCATTAACCTCTTTGAGTTCTGTTCATCCTTCTGTAAAGTGAGGATAGTAATTATTTTCCCTACCTACCTCACAGGTAGCTCAACACTGGGAGATAATATATGTAAAATTGTTTTATAAACCATTAAGCACTTTACAAATGTATCACTTAGGACTGTTCTTCAAGTAGTACATTTTTGCTTTACTCTCTTTTGCTTTTCTTTTTCTCAATGGAAACCAAGCAGATCCTTTCAAAGTTCTCTAACTTTATCTGCAAAAACTGATAGGGTATTTTGTGGGGAAGAGAAGAGTAGTTTACGATTGTGTTTCCTTAGTAATAGGAAACCTTTTCTTGTCAAGGACCAGGTGTGAAACTCCTTGCTTTAGATGGGACTTAGACCAAAGAAAAACAGTGGCATTCTAATACTACCCATCCAATAGGAATTGGCAATATGAAGACTTAGGGCCTTGTACAAGCATCCATTAGGTTTGGTGGGGAGAGGCGAAATACTGTACTTCATCCTCCCAGGTTCTCTTTCCTTATTTCTGCCTCCACTCATTTTGAATGATGCGAAAGGATAAGAGGGAGTAGAGTTATAACCACAGGAATGGCTTCCATTACAGACTACTAAGACAGAATAGCAAAAAGTATTTTCTGTTTCTGGTGTTTGGTGATCAGCAAAAGATTTAATTACGTATGGTAGAAAATGTAATGTTTTTATCTTTGTGCAAGTTGAGTGCCATTTTCAGCTCCATGGCCTGAGAATTAATACCAGTTTCAGAAGAAGACAAATGTTTTTTGTTGTTTTTTTTTTCCCAAAGGGAGAACCTTATCTATACCACTATACCACTTTTACATGGATATTAGTTTTTAATACTTTATTGCTTTCTTCATCTTTTAAAAATAACTGTTCTCTTTACATTTACCTAATTGGTTTTAACCAAATAGTGTAACTTTTTAAATTTATTTAAAAGACACCCAGTCCAGGATTTGATCCCTGTACCAGCTAGCCACCAAAAAATAAAAAAATAAAGGACACCCTGGCATTTTTTTAAGTATTCGGTTCCATGGGAATTATTTGGAAATCAGATACTGTTACATCTGCCTGGATTATTTGCTCTGTCAACTTTACTTGAGGGAGAACTCTCAACTGCCTTCCTATTACATTTTAAATTGAAATGCTTATATAGCTTTATCTGCATATTTTTCTTGCCTCTACTATATCACGAAAGAGGGTGGTAGCAAAGCTAGAATTGAAGCCAGTTTTCTGCTTCAGGAGAAAGCTCTGGATTTGTGGGCAGAGACCTACATACTGTCCTAGTGCTTTAACAAGTCTGTTTCCTTATCTGTAAATGGACATTATTTTCTCTCTCCTTCCTAAAATGTCTGTTTGGAGGATCATATTAGATAATATGTATGAAGTGCTTTGAGATATGAAATGCTCTACAAATTAAATAACCCTGTTCAATTTGTACACATCCTACACATGTTTCTGTTTCTCTCACGAGTATTCTTATAGGCAATTAGTTTTACCTTTCTCACAGTCAATTTATGTGGTATCTTGAAGAGGCTAATGTACTTAGTTTAAACTGAATACTCAGGGCTGGCTGGTTAGCTCAGTCTGTTAAGAGTGCTGTCTTGTAAGACTGTATTAGTCCATTTTTGTTGCTTATAACAAAATACATGGAACCGAGTATTTTATAAAGAAAAACATTTATTGCTTATAGTTCTAAGGCTGGGAAGTCCAAAGTCCATGTGGTGGTGATGACAGTGATTCAGGGATCTCACATTGCAAGAGGTGGAAGCAGAGAGAGAGAGAGAGACAGACTCTCCTCTTCTTTTAAAGCCCTCAGGGGGGCCGGCCCGTGGCTCACTCGGTAGAGTTCGGTGCTGATAAAGCCCTCAGAACCACGCCCCTGACCACCATTTTTAATCCATTCACTGTGGCATGGTCCTACAACCCAATCACCTCTTCAAGGCCCCACCTTACAATTACCATAATAGGATTTCCCACCCTCTTAACAGTCACAGTGAGGGCTAAGTTCCTAATACATAAAACTTGGGGGACACTATTCAAGCTTCAGGGAGCTTTGGGGAGACACAATTCAGTCCACTACAAAGACCAAGGTCAAGGGTTGAGATCCCCACACAGCCCAGCCACAAAACAAAACAAAACTGGATACTCGGTTAAGAATAAAAAGCCAGCATTTTCAGCCCATCTCCATTTTGCTAGGCTTCAAGTTTCAGAAAGCCCTGGAAATCTTGGACAGTCCAAACCAATAAAAGCAGGTGAAAAGCATTAGGGAGGGAGCTTGTGCATCCCAGGGCTCATAAATCAAAAGCAAAGCAGGATAGACTTTGTAAATTTGGACAGTTGACTTTTAGTTACACATTAGTTTGTTCTGAATTATCTGGATCGGTATGTGGGAGGTCCTATCACAAGAAAAACTAAAACTAATATAAATTTGCTCCTTGAAACAGTCACAGCAGTCTGGGACAAAGGGTTCTCTAACTAGCTTTTGTGGGCATTCATGAAGTCGGTAAGATCTTTTAGCCTCTTTGTTTGACTTACAAATTATGACATCCAGGTCGAAAATGATGTAGCACCTAGGCTATTAGATATTAGAAGAGGTGGGGGGGGCCAGGGCTGGCCCAGTGGCTCACTCGGGAGAGTGCGGCGCAGGGAGCGCCGCGGCCGCGGGTTTGGATCCTATGTAAGGATGGCCGGTGTGCTCACTGGCTGAGCGTGGTGCAGGCAACAGCACACCAAGGGTTGCGATCCCCTTACCAGTCACAAAAAAAAAAAAAAGGAGGTGGGGAGTACGTCCACGTTTATACTCTCCATTGTAATGGCTGAGCAAGTATGGCATCTTTTCAGGCACTAATACTCTCAATTCCAAAGACCACATGCGAAGGTCTTTTCAACTCAACACTGCCAGGAATTTTACTTCAATTTCTATCTTCGTGAATTTACCAAGTTTGCTGTTGAGAGGAGCATCTTCTTTTGAGAACGAGAGAATGTAAGGGTAGTGCTTTGGAATGTTACAGGCACTACCTAAGATCAAAATGATGTATGTAAAATTGAATAAGACCCTCAGGTGCTTATCAGTAGGGTGGCAAAGCCCACATAGTTTCAGTGGTATATTTCCATCAGCCCCTATTTGGGTGTAGCTGTAGCATATTCCCATCTTGGAAGCGAGACCAGTATAAATCTGTCAAGAGTCAGAGCTGGGACAAGCGAGTGTTCATTACTTGAGGTATATATTCACTTTTTGGACGCCCCCTACCCCCAGCGAGGGGAGTGAGTCATTGAAAAACGTAGTCTTACAGAAGGAGGTCTTGCTCCATCACTTGATAGCTTCCTTATTTCTCAAGCCGCAGCAGCATAACTTGTCTTGGGCCAGCTTCCTTCCCATCAAGGCAAACTTATGATAGTTTCTGCAAACAGTATGTCTCTCGGAGTTGTGGATGAGGAAGGGTTCAGGGACAAAAAGATCCAGAAGGGAAAAAATTATAGTTCTCATTGGGCTATTTTCCTCGTGTTACAGACAAAGAAACCCGAGCACAGAGAAAGGGTGGGTACCTCGTTTGCAGTCTGTCGTCTAGTGCCCGAGGGGGCCAAAGTGAGGAATGTCCTCAAGGAAAAGTGAGAGACGGGTTTTCCCAGTGAAGTCCTACCACATAAAATGAAAAAAACAAACAGAAACCCCCCTCAGAGTAGCCAAGTCAGCAGCCAGAGTTGGTTTGTCTTTTTCTAATACTCTTGGCCCTTCAATACTGAAATCACCTACTTCCCCTCCTGCTGCGGGGGCGGAGGCTCTGGGGAGCCCGGTCCACACGGATGACAAGCTAGGTCTTAGGCTTCCATACACTAGGGGACACGGGCCTGCTCCGAGATCGAACAACCCACGTAGGCGCTGAGCGGAACCTAATAACAGAGGACCCCAAAACGGCTTTCAGCCTCAGCGCAGCAGAGGGTGGAGGCCGCCGCACCCCAGGAGCCTCGGGAAGGAGGAAGAACTTCCCCACCCACGCAGGCCGGGGGCGGGCGAGGCGGGGAGGGGCCGGGCGGGCGGCGGGGGCG